CCCCAAAACCCCAAAACCCCAAAACCCCGATATAAGGATACAAAACTGGAGATAATATAATAAATATGAAGTTGCTCAACACTGTACTCAGAGAAATCCTTCTGTTTCTTGAATTCAAAGACATCGTGAACTCAGGTCTTCCATTTGTATCCAAGATATTCTACCAAAACATTGTGTAAGACTGTTTCTAATTTTTTAGCCAAGATAATGAGGTCTTTAGAAGGATGGTCCCTCGCTATGTAGCTCTTATCAAAGACAACGACCAAGAACTAGCTTATTACAACATGGTGATGAAACTAAAAGAGAGTGATTCTTCTTTGTTCGAGCAAAAGTAAGTCTAGTTGCTTATATTTTCAGAACCCTCGAAGACTTTGACAAATTTTATGAGAATTCCAAATCCAAACTCTGGGACACTCTCAGAAGACTAGAAATTGCTGTTTCGAATGAGATCCATGTTGAGTTGTTCAGAGTCTCTGGAGCTAAAGATCGCCCTAGCCAAAATAGGGATCTAAAATACATATTTAGCAGTTGAAGCCACATCTTCTACTCTAGATATGAGGGAGGCATGAAGAACAAAATCTTCTGAGCAACAGGAATTATGCTAGTTGATAAGTATTCACTAGAGAGTGAAAGCTCTGATGAGGATTATTGAGAACATAATGAAGGAGACAATAATGAGAAGGAGTCTCTAACAGGATATGTCACGTTCAGTGAAATAAAAAACGATTTTGCACGCTTTACAGCTCCCATGGAGCAATTTAATCCAAAAGCTATCTCAAAGTGCCAGATATTTTCTCTTGATTCTATACCTCTTTGGAATAAATTTAAGGTAATTCATCTTCATATTTTGTAGGTATTTTCTAGCAACTACGCAACCCAGCCCATCAAGACATTTGCAATATTTGTTCACGATTTTCCCTTACATCCTGAAGACCATCCACTATCTCACATCGTAAAGGAGAGCTTTCTAAATGCTAAAAGTACATCTGAGCAATCGCCCAAAACATTCACTGATCCAGGAATATTTAGCCAAGTGAATCCAGAGGAAATCATAATAGAAGAATCAACGACCGAAGCAGATCAAGACTACATCGCATGCTTCACTTCTCTTTCTGACGATAACCTTGTTCCCAAAATTGTGAATTCTAACGAAAATCTGATAGAATTTGATCAGCACTTCTACTGTGACAGGCTAGAAGAAACGAAGGGTAATTAAATGTTCAAACATTTAGGGGACGTCATTGGAGAACAAATAGATTCTTTAGAGATCTCTGAACTAGCTGGTTCACTTCATCATCAACTAGATGACAAGTAATTTTAAGGATAACTTAATTTAGGAACGATTATTTCAGACTTAGGCTTGCAGCAATTGCTTATGATTTAAATGTACCACTTTTTTTCTAACTCTAGACCATGGCCAACAACTATGAGATTAAGCTAAAGCAACAGGTTCCAGGGAGATATGTTACAATCATCCCGATTGATGTTCATGACAGACAGCCAGGCCAAGAAAAGAACTACGATATTGGTGGGATTACCTTTTACGGAAATCACCTTAAAGGACCATTGGTGAAACTCGTTGAATAATTGAATTCTCCAATTCTCTTAAAATAACTTGGGGTTTTGGGGTTTTGGGGTTTTGGGGTTTTGGGG